ACTATATATACTATATACTACTGAAACTATATATATATATACACACAATATATAATATATATACAATAAAATATAATATATATATATAAAATATATAATATTTACTACTGAAACTATATATATATGTATATATATATAGTTTCAGTAGTAAAGATACTGAGTTTGATAAATATATATATGTATATAGATTTCTGTGTCCTCTACGATGCTAACCCGTTTGTTGTAATTGTTTAAGCTAGAAATGCCACGGTATTCCTGGAGTTTGTTCTTCTCCACTTTCTACATTGTCTTCCTCCTCCTTCTCTCTTGTGCCCTTCCTGCAACTCCTTATCTCCTCTCTCTTCCTTCCTCCCCTTCTTCCCAGTCCTCCATCTTTTATTTCTTCTGCTCCTCTTCTAGGTAGAAAATGCTGTGGCATTCAGCTTCCCCACAAACTCTAGTCCTTGCTTCCCTGCCCTACTTCTGAACAAAACAGCAACAATGCAAGCAAATACCCTAACAGTCTGCTATTCCGAGTTTTATTCTTCAAATACCTATTTGCACTTTACCATTTACTCAGGCGACTTTGGGCAAATTCTGAAGCTCCATTTGCTTTAATTTCCGCTTCTGTAAAGAGGGCATAATAATAGCACCTAAGCCAGAAAGGTGGCTAGGAGAGTTCAATGCCAGTATCTTGAAAAGACTCAGAGCAGGGCCTGGCACACATCAACATGATATGATTATTAGCTTTATTCATATTTCTTAGCTGTCATTGTGGTTTTTTGACATAAGAGATGGGGTCCTGCTATGTTGTCCAGGCCAGTTTTGAACTCCTGGGCTTGAGATCCTTCTGTCCCAGCCTCCCAAATGGCTAGCATTACAGGCGTGAGTCATCACGCCCAACCCCTGTCATTGTTTTTATTACTGCTTCTGTTATTATTAGAATGTCTATTGTCTGTCTCCATTATTCACTAATATGAGAGATTATTTCAATTAATGTATGAAGTACTTTTAAGGTGGTTACTCTTCTGAAAAAATTAAGCAAGCTTTTCACATGTTTTCACAGGTAAATGTTTCTGAATTGGATGCTTTAGAATCTCCTTTAAAAAGTTAGTCTAGTTTTCCAGGAAGGATAAAAGACGTTTGTGGAGCTGTCCAGGGTTTCTGGAGATACATCCCTAAATGACTCTATCAGTGCTGGGCTGATTTGGTATGGCTCTAAAAGAGTCAGGAATTTTTGTGGCTTGGTTGTTAAAATATTGGTAGCTTGAAATTGTCAATGATGTGAGGATTTGTACCACAGAAACTGACAAAAACCACAAATTAGGGCTCCTGTAACAAGAGAGCCCATTTTACCAGCATATCACTACATAGATTTTGCCAAAAGGTTAGGGTCACTATAAAGTCTGATGTCATGACAGAGCATCTTACTGTGAATTTTAATACATCTTGGGGTAAATTTTGCTTGTGTGGTTTAGCAACTACTATATGGATTATAAGTCAATATAATAGTTACCTGTAACCTCCGTGTTAGCCCCATCATTCAATCTCAAAGTAGTTTCCTTTGTGTTTTTTCTACTGGGTCTTTTGTATATTTCCATGTGTCTTTGAGTGATTTGTGGCCAAATGAAGTTTTTGAACTATCTTTTGAAAAGTTAAACACAAATACACTTATTCAATAAAAAATAAATACATCTTTTCAAAGAAAAATTTTCCCTCAATTTTAGAACCAAGTTAGGGCAAGCCAGATTTTTAGAATAATTCTTCAGTTTTACCTGTAACATTCAAACTGGAAGAAAATAGAATGAGAAAATATCTTAAGAGGCACTGAATATTTATGATGATAACAAGCTATAATTTCCTCTATTGAAAAACCTTCTCATAAAATGCAAAACTGGTTGTTTGCTTTTTTTTTTTTTTTTTTAACTTACCTAGCGAAAAACCACATGCAAGATCTTTTTGAAACTGACTAGTTCGCGGGTTCCACTTCCTGTTGTGAGGAGTAAAATCTATCTTAGATGCAATAAAGTTCTCAAAGATTGTTTTCGTTCTCTTATAAACCAATTTAGGTTTCAAATTCATGTATATTAAATGAAACTGAAACTCCCTGAATTTGTTATTTCTATAATATCCAGTCTGCTTCTGGTCAGGGAAAACAGTTTTAACAGTTAATAATTTGCTTTAGGAGAATTACTGTCAGAACAGGATTGACTCAATGACTCAATAACTAAGCTCCCCTTCCTACTTGAAAAAAAAAAACCTTTCGCTGAGTTGGGTGCCCACTCTGCTTGAGGTATTATTCTCATCACATTTTAGGCACAAGAACGTGGTGTAGACCAAGGGTTGGTCTTAGACAGAATTGAGACAAAGCTCACATTTTGGGGCTTTCCCTGAAGTAGCCCTAAGGTTTGATGGTGGAGCTGGAGGGCCTTCAGTCCCAGTGGGTGTCACAAGGAATGGGTGGTGGATACTGGTACTCAGCTGGGAGGGATGGAAGGAGCATCACCTCCTCTCTGCCTTGACTGATCCCATTGCTGCCTTCCAGGAACCTTCCTCTCACTCGTTCATCAGAAGGCAGCTCTTCTTATTTGAACTAATGTAATTTCGTCTTGTTCACTGGGGGCCTGAGCACTCTAGGAATGACTGTTAACAATGCCCTCTTCTCCCTGTTCCTCTGGCTCTTGGTTTGTCTTAAGTGCTCCTGGACCCCAGAGTCCCCAAATCCTGCCCGTCATCTAAATTTACTTACTCTCTTCTTTATCTTGAGTCCTAGTTCTCAGGTAAAATTTAGCCTCTCAAATAATATACATATTTATGCAAAAATATTTTTGTCAATTGGTACTAGTTGGGTTTTACTGATCTCAGAGAATTGTCATATCCAAAAAAGTCCTAGGAGATGATTTGAGGGAATGGTTGGAACTTTAGGCCACAAGACAGGTCAGTGGGAGAGATAATTGTGAAGTGAGGCTGAGACTATATCCTTTTCATGATAACATGCCTGGATTTTAGTAACGTGCCATGATTATAACATGTCTATATTTGCTTAAAAATTAAGGCAATTATTACCATCTTTATGGATGATTAATTTTGGGGAGGATAAATTTTACTCTAACATTTGTCAGATAAAATGTCATTGCAGTATTTCTTGGGATCTATATTTCTTAGGAAATACAATTTAAACACTTTAGCTTCATCATAAGTGCTGAAGGAAACAGAAGTCATACTTATTATAAAAATTAGGATTTTTTTCTGTTTACTAGACATAAAGTATTTGTTTATCTCAACAATATAATATTATATTACATATACTCACATAAAGGAATGTTGTTCAGTTCTCAGAGGATTTTCATAAATAAACCTTGCCAAATCTTTATAAGACCTATAGGATTAAAATGATTACCAATGTCATCATTTTATAAATGAAGAAGCAGATTCACAGAGGGCTACACAGTTAATAATTATAATAACCAGGAATTGATTCCAGCCCTCTGAATTTAAAGACTTTCACCATGTTATATCCCTTCTTTTTTTTTTTTTTTTTTTTTTTTTTTGAGACGGAGTTTCGCTCTTGTTCCGCAGGCTGGAGTGCAATGGCGCGATCTCGGCTCACGGCAACCTCCACCTCCTGGGTCCCGGCAATTCTCCTGCCTCAGCCTCCTGAGTAGCTGGGATTACAGGCATGCGCCACCATGCCCAGCTAATTTTTGTATTTTTAGTAGAGACGGGGTTCCACCATGTTGACCAGGATGGTCTCGATCTCTTGACCTCGTGATCCACCCGCCTCGGCCTCCCAAAGTGCTGGGATTACAGGCGTGAGCCACCCTGCCCGGCTATATCCCTTCTTCAAACATACAGTAGAACCATATACAAGCGCTACAAGATCAATAGTTAGAATGCAGAATATAAGCCAGGCACCTCTAGAATAACATCATAAAATGCTGTGCTAAGCCTGCATACCACATTTTTAGAACTGCTTTTCAATTTCATACTTTTTCCCCTGAGTTCTATACCTGTTAACAGAAAAGGTGAAGTCTTTTAAACTTAAATCAATTCAGCTTACATATTTGTAAAGAAAAAAACAAATAAAACTTCAAGCCAAAATTTTTTTCTCTTTCTACACACATACACACACGCACGCATGCATGCACACACGCATGCACACACACGCACACACACAAATATTTGAAAGCATTTAAAAATATTTTCCATTTTTGCTGATAGTTTGATTCTATGCTTGCTTAAAATGTATTGTGGAGAAAACACATGTTTCGTGTATGTTGTCTTATGTCTGATTTGAAGATTTGAAGAGCTAGTACAGAATAGTAGGTGGTAACTAATTTGTCTTCCATAAAACGTGAGAAATATTCAGAGATATTTAAAGACACAATAACAAATTTTAATTTGCCTGTAAGTAAAAATTTCCTGATAAGGAGGGTTGATTGCTAGTGAGTTCTCACTAAAAGAGGTTGTGGAATTTCATTTTCTGGGATATTTAATTCATGTGGTTTAGGTGTAACCCTATGTGGTAGCAGGACTATGAACTTAATAGTTCAAGTGACTCTAATATTTTGAGTTTGTGACAATTGTCTTCCAGGTTTATCTGAGTAATCACTGTTATTTTGAAATTGCAAAAGAAACAAGATATAGTTTTCCTTTTCTCACAAAAATGTAAAAGGGGAAATATTTTTTGATTTCGAAAACTTCCGTGAACACTGTGCTATCATAACTAAAGTAGTAGTGAGAGAGCAGCCCGGGGGTGGGAACAGGAAACATTAGTGATAAACGCTCTGTGCTCTGTGACATTCTTTTTTCAGGTTCAGCTCAATGTATATTGATTCTAATTAGCACATTTTGTGCCTCAGCTGGTAGCTCCCCGTTAGCTCTGCCTGGAGGGTTTTTTTTTAGATTCCATCCTGCTCATAAACACTGCCACCTCCTCCCTCCTTCTCTCTTTACAAATGTTACAACACAATCAGAAATTTCCTCTTTTCTTTCCTTCCTGCATTTTCAGCAGGTTCCCTTGCGTCAGAAGCCGAGGAGGAAAACTCAAGGTAATTCGATCTCTTTTGTTTCTTTATAAACCCTTTCTGTGTGCGTTGAGTGTGGCTTTTCTCCCGATGCTTCCTTGGGATCAGATTTCTGTCTGTCTTAATGCTAATATGAGGAGTGGATGGCAGATTAATTTTTGGTTATTCTTGAATCGATTTTAAGAAATGATGATATGCTGTTCATTTTGATTAATCCCTCGTGGTGTGTTGAAAGAGCTTAGAAAAACTGGCAGTGAGTCGGGAAGTAGCTGTGTTTTGAGGTGGGCATTAACCCTTCACCATCTATTGCATAACTACTGCTGTTATTGTTGAGAGGAGCTATGTTACTGCACGGATATGCCTGCCAGTCTTACGATTTTAATTATTTTTAACTTATTCTTGGTGAATACTATTCTTAGACGAATACTTGCATATTAGTCTTGCTGCACTGTTTCTTTGGCTATATCTTATACCTTCTAAGCATCAAATGAATGTTTAAAAATAAAACAGACATGTCTTTTTTTTTTTTTTTGCATTGGCTTTGCATAAATCCAAGTCCCCAGGGGGTAGGCAATTAAAAGCTGCCTTTCGCTGTGTCACATAAATCAGAGTAATACTTTACCTATCAAATCAGGGTGATACTTTATCTACCTCTTCATGTAATCATTGCAGGTTTTCTCACAATGAGTCGGAGGAGGATATCGTGTAAAGATCTGGGCCACGCTGACTGCCAAGGGTGGCTGTATAAGAAAAAGGAAAAGGGAAGTTTCCTAAGCAACAAATGGAAAAAGTTCTGGGTGATGCTGAAGGGGTCGTCACTGTACTGGTATAGCAATCAAATGGTGAGTCTGCTTTCTTCCGCCTGGTCCCAGCCTCTTTTAACGAGGGGTAACGTAACGGCATCAGGTGATGCCGTTAATTTTGATGGGAAAGTTAATTTTGATTTCTGGGAATCGGAACGGAGTAAATAATTTATAGAAAGCACTTCTGGTCCAGTAGGTATGTAGGTTATTCTGTTGTGTTTTATGGAGAAGAAAACCATCCTGTTTGATTACTCTTTGGTTGGGGAGGAGGGGAGTGTTGACATTTATATTCCTGGTAAAGGAGACTGTTAAGTCCTGTTATTAATGTTACTACTTCACATGGGATTCTAATCATTTCAGGATTTATGTGGGCATCACTTAACAAGGCATCTTTACACGGTTAAGGTCTCTCTACTAAAAGGAGACTCAGCTTCACGACCTGCAAGGGTGTCAGTTGATTCAGTTCAGAGAAGCTTTTTCCATTTCTCCTCCTTTACTTTCTTCTCCCCCTTCTTTCCCTCTGACCTTCTTTATCAGACGGTTTGGTTTGGAATCACTAACCCATATGCCAGCTTTGCAGTGGTGACTGTCACCTCTTGCCCCCTGATGTGCTCTGTGATAGCATTAAGCTAGTCATGCTTAGACAACATGTAAAAAGATAGTTGCCTAGTTTATTCCTTTAAAAGTCAGGATACTGCTATGGTTTGCTTCCCGGGTTAGTTTTCTGTTGAAAATGGCTGGAAATAAAGTTATTGTTAAAGAGTGTGCTGATATTTCATGGCCTGGGTCATGTTGAAAATGATGAAGTTGTTGAATGTCGAATGAGGAGACATTTCCAAGGGGAAATGCTCTCAACAAGCCCCAGTGAGGTTTGATTGCTGCTCTCAGGAGAGCGTGAGTCTCTTTGTGGTACTGTGAAGATCAGCATTGGATAGCCGTTAATAAAATAAGGGAAAAATACTTAAGAGTTGCTTATAAGCCAAGAATTTTTTTTGAGATGGAGTCTCACTCTGTTGCCAGGCTCTGGAGAGCAGTGGCGTGATCTCCACTCACTGCAATCTCTACCTCTAGGGTTCAAGCAATTCTTCTACCTCAGCCTCCCAAGTAGCTGGGATTACAGGCACACATCACCATGCCCAGCTAATTTTTGTATTTTTAGTAGAGACGGAGTTTTACGATGTTGGCCAGGATGGTCTTGATCTCTTGACCTCATGATCTGCCAGCCGTGGCCTCCCAAAGTGCTGGGATTACAGGCATGAGCCACCACACCCGGTCCGGAAGTTCTTTTTATGTGACATTCCTTTTGTGAAATGACTTGGGCATGCCCGTCATTTAAGCAACAGAGCTGTCCATCATGTAACTTTATAAATGCAAAGTAAGTACTGCATATTGTTTGTGGGCCAAATTTTTATTTGATAAATTTACATCCACCAGCTGCTAATCAGAAATTTTTGTTACTCACATACCTCTGGGCCCTGTTCATTAAAGATTTGGTTAAACCGAACCCAAATCCAATTCCAGTGCTTGGCATAAGAACACTCCTCTCTGCTCTTCTGCTCCCAAGCTATTGCTTCAGCTTCACCTCATGCAAAATGTGGCACAAATCTCTTTGGGCTCCGTAAAAATAGATACTTTTTTCCAAGCATTTGGTGCATTATTACAACTTTATCAAAATTTTAAGGGATTCACAAAAAGTCACTGGCAGAGTGTGCAGTTTTCCACTGTCATCCTTTCCTCTTTTCTTCTCCCCTCCTGAATATATTCTTCATCGTGTCTAGGATGAAGGGTTTTACCCAAATTCAGGCAACCTGGGTCTGCAGTCTTGCCTTCTATTGTAAGAGAGTTTTCCTAAACAAATACAGCTTTTTTCTTAAGAGGAATTGAGGTGAATAGAAATGTCTCTTTCTTGTTTCATATTATTTCAGGCTCTTGTTTTTGGGTAGTTGTGGCAAGTGGTAGTCCTCTACATCTTTTATAACATGGGTGAACCTACTGATTGACTACTAATTAATAGTGGTCAGGGAATTTCCCGAGGCTGTGGAAAGATTGGATGCTGATGGAGCTTGGCATGTCTGTGGAAAGTCGTAAAGCTCAGACAGAAGCAGGACGTTCATCTTCTCAGGCAGTCAAATTATTCAGCACATATGTTCTGGGTGCTGTCCCTGTCTTCACAGAATTTAAAGGAAGTCCTTCGGAACCACACAGCCTGCCAGATTGGGCTGGCTTGGCCCCATCAGCTCATTCAGCTTATGATGCTCTTAGAGGAGCAATGAGTTACCTATTTTAGGCATTAGGAACTTCATGCTTCCACAAGGAGCAGCAGTGTTGACAGAGTAGGCTAGAAAGAGGAAAAGGACAGAGCCTCAGATACACTCACGCATTCCTGCCCTGGCTTGCTTTCACGGCAATACGGAAAGCAGTATTCAGGTTGCAAAGAATGTACTTGAATACAGTTAGATTAGCAACATTGAATAGAGAATAAGCTTGCCATTATCTGGCTAGGGAACTATAGGATCAAATTAATGGCATGCAAACTAATGGTTGTAAAGCTAATGGTATGTAGAGGAATTCTCCCTCTCTTCTCCTCTCTACCCACCCCCCCACAGGCCCTGAATCTTAATTATATGTTTATTGGGAGGGGGGGAAAGGCTACTCAATGAATGCTTAATAAGCAGTCATATTCCTCTTGTCTGTGTGGATATCAACTGTGAAATAAGAGCCAAGCATGTCCTGTCAAACCAAGAAGCTTGTTTACTTTCTGCCACTTAAAAGAATTCAGATTCAACAAAGTCCCTCTCAAAGCACCTAAGTCTAAGCACCTAAGAGCAGAATTCTCATTCTACCTTCTATGTTCCTTAACCTTGGGGTAGGACCAGCCCGGTCCCTACACTTTCTTATGTAGCCTAAGCTGAGAGGTAGCAGAGACCATAGCATCTTAGGAAGAACCACCTGTTGCTGTCTACCCTATGCCAAGGGATTGCTGCTTCTAGGTACCTTGCATATATGCTCTCATTTACTCCTCAAAAACACCCTGAGAGGTAGTAACTGTCTCCACATTTTGAAAGTGGGATAGACTGAAATACAGAGAGATTGTATAGTCATCCCAAGTCACGTAGTAGTAAATGGAAGAAAACAGATTCACATTTAGGCCCCTTGGACTCCCAAGCCCATGACTTGGAACATGCCAACCTGAGTCCCTCTGAGGCCAGGATACGTGACACAATTAAGACTGCCCTGTTTTCCTTTTTTTTTTTTTTTTTGAGATGGAGTCTGATTCTGTCACCAGGCTGGAGTGCAGTGGCGTGATCTCCGCTCACTACAACCTCCGCCTCCTGGGTTCAAGTGATTTTCCTGCCTCTGCCTCCCGAGTAGCTGGGACTATAGGCACGTGCCACCACGCCCAGCTAATTTTTGTATTTTTAGTAGAGACGGGGTTTCACCATTTTGGCCAGCATGGTCTCGATCTCTTGACCTCATGATTTGCCTGGCCCGGCCTCCCAAAGTGCTGGGATTACAGGCGTGAGCCACCGTGCCCAGCCAAGACTGCCCTGTTTTCTGCCTTCAACAGAATTGTGAGAGAACAGCTCTAGAAATGAAATTTAGGGCAAATCTCCTTTGAAATTACATATGATCTCATTGTCATTGAATCCCTTTGCTTCTCTCTCTCTCTCATTTCCTGACTCTGCCTGAGAAAGACCACGCCAGCGTCGTCTCTCTCCTGTTTTGTGCTGTTGTTACCCAGTCACTGATGCCTGGTCTACCTTTTTGTTTCACCACACGTTGCTGCTTCAAACTGTACTACCCAGCATTCACTGAGAAAGGTGAAGTCCAGAGGCTCATCTGCCATTTTTCACACCACATGTTATGTGCTTCGAGTGTGACACAGCACACGAGATTGCTTGCCAAGTCCTACAAAGCCATATGCAAGTTTAACAGCCATAGAAATCCAGGCTGGTAAAATCCCGGATTTAAAATCCACAGTTTTGTTTTCCCTTGCCTTTATGAGAAAGTACAAACTCACTTCCTGGCTTGTGGGATTCACCTTAACTGGTAACCCTTCCTACTTCCCCACACTTGCCAGTTCAATCCGTTTAAAGATGGCACTTCTTTGAATTTCTGTTAGAACATGGGCTGGCTCTCTTTAAGCCTTCGCATATGCTATTTCTCTGCTCAGAAAATGCTGTCTCCGTGCCCTGATGTCTTTCTCCAATCCAATTCCGTCAAGCTTATTCCTCCTCAAAGGTCAAATTTTAGCTGAAATAGCCTTCTTCTACAGGCACTTACCTTCTCTGACCTAAATTTGGCTTTCCCTCTCTGCTCCCTGAGTGGCCTATACTTTCCTTTCCTTTCTTTTCCTTCCTTCCTCCCTCCCCCCC